GGTGTTACTGTGGTCAGTGTGATGTTACTGTGGTGTTACTGTGGTCAGTGTGGTGTTACAGTGGTGTTACTGTGGTCAGTGTGGTGTTCCTGTGGTATGTGTGGTGTTACAGTGGTGTTACTATGGTCAGTATGGTGTTACTGTAGTGTTACTGTGGTCAGTGTGGTGTTACTGTGGTGTTACTATGGTCAGTATGGTGTTACTGTAGTGTTACTGTGGTCAGTGTGGTGTTACTGTGGTCAGTTCTGGTGTTACTGTGGTCAGTGTGGTGTTACTGTAGTGTTACTGTGGTCAGTGTGGTGTTACTGTGGTGAGTGTGGTGTTACTGTGGTGTTACTGTGGTCAGTGTGGTGTTACTGTGGTGTTACTGTGGTCAGTGTGGTGTTACTGTGGTCAGTGTGGTGTTACTGTGGTCAGTGTGATGTTACTGTAGTGTTACTGTGGTCAGTGTGGTGTTACTGTAGTGTTACTGTGGTCAGTGTGGTGTTACTGTGGTGTCAGTGTGGTGTTACTGTGGTCAGTGTGGTGTTACTGTGGTCAGTGTGGTGTTACTGTGGTGTTAGTTTGATCAGTATGGTGTTACTGTAGTGTTACTGTGGTCAGTGTGGTGTTCCTGTGGTATGTGTGGTGTTACAGTGGTGTTACTATGGTCAGTATGGTGTTACTGTAGTGTTACTGTGGTCGGTGTAGTGTTACTGTGGTCAGTGTGGTGTTACAGTGGTGTTACTGTGGTCAGTGTGGTGTTACAGTGGTGTTACTGTGGTCAGTGTAGTGTTACAGTGGTGTTACTGTGGTCAGTGTAGTGTTACTGTGGTCAGTGTGATGTGTTACTGTGGTGTTACTGTGGTCAGTGTGGTGTTACAGTGGTGTTACTGTGGTCAGTGTAGTGTTACTGTGGTCAGTGTAGTGTTACTGTGGTCAGTGTGGTGTTACAGTGGTGTTACTGTGGTCAGTGTGGTGTTACAGTGGTGTTACTGTGGTCAGTGTAGTGTTACTGTGGTGTTACTGTGGTCAGTGTAGTGTTACTGTGGTCAGTGTGGTGTTACAGTGGTGTTACTGTGGTCAGTGTAGTGTTACTGTGGTCAGTGTGGTGTTACTGTGGTCAGTGTGGTGTTAGTGGTGTTACAGTGGTGTTACTGTGGTCAGTGTGGTGTTACAGTGGTGTTACTGTGGTATGTGTGGTGTTACAGTGGTGTTACTGTGGTCAGTGTAGTGTTACTGTGGTCATTGTGGTGTTACAGTGTTGTTACTGTGGTCAGTGTAGTGTTACTGTGGTCAGTGTAGTGTTACTGTGGTCAGTGTGGTGTTACAGTGGTGTTACTGTGGTCAGTGTAGTGTTACTGTGGTCAGTGTGGTGTTACAGTGGTGTTACTGTGGTCAGTGAGGTGTTACAGTGGTGTTACTGTGGTCAGTATGGTGTTACTGAGGTGTTACTGTGGTCAGTGTAGTGTTACTGTGGTCAGTGTGGTGTTACAGTGTTGTTACTGTGGTCAGTGTAGTGTTACTGTGGTCAGTGTAGTGTTACTGTGGTCAGTGTAGTGTTACTAAGGTCAGTTGTGGTGTAACAGTGATGTTACTGTGGTCTGTGTGGTGTTACTGTGGTCAGTGTGGTGTTACTGTGGTCAGTGTTGTGTTACTGTGGTCAGTGTTGTGTTACTGTGGTCAGTGTGGTGTTACTGTAGTGTTACTGTGGTCAGTGTGGTGTTACTGTGGTGTTACTGTGGTCAGTATGGTGTTACTGTAGTGTTACTGTGGTCAGTGTGGTGTTCCTGTGGTATGTGTGGTGTTACAGTGGTGTTACTATGGTCAGTATGGTGTTACTGTAGTGTTACTGTGGTCAGTGTGGTGTTACTGTGGTGTTACTATGGTCAGTGTGGTGTTACTGTAGTGTTACTGTGGTCAGTGTGGTGTTACTGTGGTCAGTGTGGTGTTACTCTGGTGTTACTGAGGTCAGTGTGGTGTTACTGTAGTGTTACTGTGGTCAGTGTGGTGTTACACAGATTAGTGTTTCATGTGTTTCATGCACAGGTCCTTCATGTCCAGTAGTGCGACCTGCAGCTCTTCTGCCAGCCGATCTGAACAGGTTTCTTTATTCTCTCTGAAACTGGACACTGAGAACACGATGTGATCCGACTGAGGATTATAACAAACACCGTAACCGTCTGGAACCACTGGACCATAGCAGCAGAACATCTCCATCTCAGTGGGGACCTGGAGGAAGACGCAGCACAGCACATGTAGTGTATTTCTGCAGTGTTTACTCCCGCTGCCACGTCTGCAACACTGAACAGCAGCTGTGAGCGGTCTACAGTAGAGTGCAGGAACACCACACAGCAAACCCCGAACACTCATCAGGAATGCTGGAGTCCGAGTCTTACTGCAGTTATAAACCATCAATGATTGTGTGTGTGTCTGTGTGTGTGTGTGTGTGCTGCTCTTACCTGACTGGTGGACAGGATGAAATGGTTGCTGATCTTGTATGTTTCATCAGAGAATATGTCCGGCGTCTGCATCTCCATCTGCCTGGCCATTTCCCGCAGTCCCAGTAAGTGATTGTCCATCCCGTTCCCAGTGACGGCCTGCAGAGGGCGAGGAACATTCATGTGTGTGGTGTGTTTGTGCAGCTAGTGTGTTTGCAGACCAG